GGGGGGTGGGGGTGGAGCCAGTCGAGAAGAGCTGTCACCCATTCATATTAGTAGACTCTAAAATTGATTAAATATGTCTACAAAAACCATAGATTATCATAGTTTCCGAGAAACTTTCTGATCACACCCACTTGCACTCTCATTGGTGAGGCGTACCCCGGTCGGGCAAATCCTGTGCCACCCCTGAACATGTATCCTGGTGTTTTACAGCACTTAGATCTAGGATCCTGGGATTGGAAGGCGAGCATCCAAACTAACAATCTATAGCTCAAATCAATGTGATGAAAGAATGGAAAAATCCCAAAATATATATAATATCCATTAACAAGAATTAGAATATATAAGAATTAGTATTATGTTTAAATAATCTACAGGTTTGGATGTTGCTGATCAAATGCGATGTGGTAACCTCTTCAAAAGTGATACTGCCCTCTATCTGCAAGCTGCTACTCTTGGTCACCTGGCAGAAACTAGGCTCCATTTATGCAGAGATTTACTGATACTGCAGTGTCTGATGCAGAGGCTAGGTACACAGGTAGGATATTGGTTGCTTCACCTCCAATTTTATGATCTGGTTTTTTTTTCAGACTCTGATTAATTGCCGTCAAGTGGCTCTGCTGCCAAATATAATATAAAACAACAAAATGATATACAATTTTAAAAGTGCAAATGATAAGTGCATGTGTTACAAGATATCACATGAGATTTTGGGTTATTTTTCTTTTAGGCTGGTGTCAGCCATGATACGCTTGAGAAATTACAGAGGGATTGCATCCCAAGAACGTCTATGTTGGTACATTCATACTTTGCAGTTTGGTGGCTTAGCCGTGTGAAGGCAACTCAAGTCCAAAGCAATACTGTGTAAGTATCTAATTTAATGTGCATCATCTACCAACATAGGAATACTTTTACTCACCATTTGTGCTGTTTGCACCCGAATCTTGCAGCTGATCCAAATTTAATGTAATACTAACAACAAAAAAAAAATCAACATTAAGACATTAAATTTTAAAGCATGCATAAACAATATAAAAAATATGTTTTTTCTTATTTTTGTTTATAGTGAATCAAACCAACGTCAGCTGGCTGCTCTTGAAATATCAACCACACAGCACACAGCAGGTCAGGGTGTTTTAACATCAAGATGTCGTACAGTTTTGGAACTTTTTCTTGCTGGTGTTGGTGGTCAGCAGATCCGGACTAAACTGGTTCAGACTGGAAGCTTGTCAGTTGCAACATGTTCCTTCTGGACTACTATGTTCCCATCAGCAGTTAATCATTTGTTACAAATAGTGTATCCTTTGGTTTTTGAACTGGTAAAAATAAACAAAATATTGGTTGATGTAATTACAGTATATCACTCCTCTAGCTTAATAAGGACAATGAATGAACCCAGACCTTTTTTGGTTTCCTTGAGTTGAAAAACTAATCTTGAAGAAGGATGTGGGAAGACATTAAAACATACTTCACTTTTGAGTTGTATAGCCATGTTCATGTTTTGTTATCCTTGACTAGTATTCTCGAAGATGGCCCAATAGCCCCAACTTCTTATTGGCTGAGTTTCTTGTTGCTCAGTGCCAGTTCCATCAACTACAAGTGAGTTTTTGAGTCTGTTGTTTGCTTTTATATACCACTGTAGCATAACATCCTCATTTATATACCACTGTAGCATAACATCCTCATTTATATACCACTGTAGCATAACATCCTCATTTATATACCACTGTAGCATAACATCCTCATTCATAAACCACTGTAGCATAACATCCTCATTTATATACCACTGTAGCAAAACATCCTCATTTATATACCACTGTAGCATAACATCCTCATTTATATACCACTGTAGCATAACAT